GGGGAGGAAGAAGCGAAGGCTGAAAGTGCCCTTAGAACTGCCATTTACCAGAAATTGAGGCAATCATTAGCTCTCTCAGCTCCAGGCCTAGCTGAGCTACAAATATACAAGCTTCCCTGCCAGGGAGTTACATCACGACCACAGAAGTTAAATAAAACCTTTTCCATTCTGTAATTTAAAAACAGCTTAATAGTGAAGATTTCGTATTAACAGGGTGGTTTCCTCCCCATAGTGGCGACGAACATGGAAAAATTGACCTGTGCCCAGTTTAGTCTTGACTTGCCTATTCCAGACTCTTCTAAAGAGATCGTTTCACAGGCACTAAGCTGTGACCCTTCAAATGAGTTCATTTTGATTCCTTAAATAGACAGGTGTCCACAGAGCACACAAATTGTCTCTTCTTGTCTGGTTTCTCAGAAGAACTTATCATTGAACGAAGCCCGAACTGCACTCAGTCTACAAGGACAGCGAGACGTGTTTTCAGTAGAACCAGTTCAAAGAAAACAAATCACAAGAATCTCACCTCATTGTGGTGTTTCCCTAAAAAAAAATTTGCAAACCTTTGAACCAGCTTTCATTTTAAAGCCCACCTAGAAAGTGCTCTGATCTTGTGGCCCACGTAGTGTGATCCCATAGAGGAAAAAGCACTGAAATAGAGGGGCAGGATTGGGAAGGATGCACAAAAATCAGGGTCTGCAGAGAGGTATTATGCTTTTGTACATTTTTCTCTGTATTGATCACTGCGACCTTGGTCTTTTTATTGTTCTTAATTTGACTTTAAGACATGTGCCTTTATGGGTCTTGGGTTCCGTGTCAAACCCATCTTCTGATTATTCCTCTGCTTGTCGCTTGTCTAACACACCCAGCCATCTGCACGCCCTGCATCTTACCGTCAGACACTTGAGTAAAGGGGATTAAGAGCTGAGTCACAAAACACAACTTGGGAAAGATGAAAAAAGCTAGCATGGGGTGGGAGAAAATCAAGTCCTCACTATAGCATTCCTGTCTTTCCCGGAAATCCTCTGGTGTACAGGTAGCTCTTTGTCTTGCAGTGAGATCCACAGCCTCTCTGCCTTCTCTTGCAAGGAAAGGACAGAGCTAAGTACCCAGGTGACCCGAGCTGCTTTATCTGTGCTAGCCCGTCTGCTGCCTTCACTTTGCCTGAGAACCTTTGGCTTGCTCTGGGTGTTACTGTGCAGTTTCCGATTAAAAGACTCATGGCAGGATTTTTGTCAGAATTTCAAGGCTGCCAACACTAACAGTGAATGGAATTTTGCCTTCTCAGATGGTGCACTCACATGCCCTTTTCATAAATAGGTGGTTAGTCAGCCAGATAGGGTAAGAGCAGTCCACCCACCAAAACCTGTTATTCCTCAGCTCCCTGCCTTTTTTATTCCATCATTTCAAAGGGCAAATACTGAAGGAAGACTGAACTATTCAGCCACCTGTGCATTGCGGGATGAACACCACAACCCCCCCAAGCTTCCTGCGGATGCGCCCCTCTAAAAAGCCGAATGTAAAGGGGGGAGGGAGAGAGAAATAGCTTTATGAGACCGTTCGCACGACCGCCGGGCAGCTTCTCCAGGGAGCGGGTGCCGCTACCTGCAGCGCTGGCCGCCTCCTGCCT